GCGCGCTGCGGAGCTGCCGCCCCCGTCTCCGGCGTGCTGCGCGACGACTGCGCCGAGCTCTGTGAGCTGGGCGACATCGGCGCCTCCTTGGCGGCGCGACGCGGCGGTGGCGGTGCCGGCACCGCGTCGATGTCCTGGTCCTCGGGCACCGTCTGTATGCTGAGCTCTAGCGCACGCAGCCCGCTGTCAGAGCCACGGCGCGCTGAGCCGACCCCGCTGCGCTGCGGCCGCGGGGACTCAGCAACGGCGACGTCCACGCCACGCGACACCGCGTCACGCGACGACAACGACTCACTGCGCAGCGGGCTGTGCGGGGTGCGCGACACGTCACACCACTGCGGGCTGTGCGCGGTGTGGGCCGAGTCTGCCCGCTGGGGGCTGAGCGGCGCGCGCGAGGGGTCGGACCGGCGAGGGCTGTGTGGGCTGTGAGGGGTGCGGGAGGAGTCTGACCGGTGGGGGCTGTGAGGCGCGCGCGAGGGGTCGGATGACCGCTGTGGACTGTCCAGCGAGCCGTGGCTCTGCGACAGTGAGCTGCTATCACTGGAGCGACCTGACGAGTGCTGCCGATCGACCAACGGATCAGTGCCTTCCGTCTTGCTGAACGCCGTCTGAGACACAGAGGATATGGAAGAGCTGCTAGCTTTTCTGTGCCTGTGAACATCAGGAGGGAGAGGACAACGCTGTATGATTTTTTGGCAATAATCTCTTGAAATAGCCAGTATAATAACAGCAAATATTTAAGCAAGTATGCTAGGCAGCACAAAATATCCCAGTGCTACACGTTTCTAAACCTACCTCTAAATTAACAACGGGCCATGGGATTTGTGATGGGGTTTCTATGTGATGCAATGGTACTAACTAGCTTGTATATCAAGTGGTTTGAGACCTTACACGCCTTACGACACATAATTATCAGAGGTGGCTTGAGACCCTTATGGTATCATAATGTAGTATAAGCTGTAGTATAACAGTTGCATTACAGCACATGAAACGAGACGAGCATTGGGCAAGCGCTGAAGTGGCAACACTTGGGTGTTACCTTGAAGTGCAGTCTCAACCACTATATCCTGAGACCTACACGAAGACTGCATTACATAGATGCTATTACTGTTACCTGCTATGTTGGTCGTGTACACCTGACCTTGCCTGTCCATTCATGTGCCTGTCTCCGTCCTCGGGCCTTCCATCCACCTCCTCACCACCCCCTCCAGGCTGACCCACGTTATGCCTATGATGGTGGTAGTGATGCTGCTGCAGAACAAAACGCAATGTGATTGAAAACATTAATGAACAATTAGTTCAAATACTATAAAACATGTTTACAACAAGTTTCATGCACTGCGTACATGCCCACACTCGTATGTATTTTTTATTAGCATAGTTTTAATAATCTTTCCTGCAGGTCCTACTAATACGACAGGAGTTGTTTCACAATTCTACACTTCTTCTTCACAATTCTTCCAAGTGTTGTTCCAGTGTTTTTAAGCACTTACTAATATTCCTAAGTAATAATACATGTTTATGCTTACTTAACAACACTTCCAAACGATCGTACATATCGATTAGCCATCTGCAGTGAGTTAACTTTCATTTTGTTCTGCTCACATCTTGCAAGACTAGTAGAATAAACACTCGAACTTTCTAAAAACATCAGTAGTAAGGATATACGGTTATATAAACAAGGTTAGGGGTACTGGATGAGAAGGGGTGGCGAGAATTTGTTGCTGGATGCAGACAGCCATAAGGGAATGAAAAGAGTTCATAGATAAACTGTTCATCTTCAAGAATTAGATGTACTTGTGTTTGTAGCACTATGTTCAGCTTAATTTACATGTTGGAAATAATTTTCCTGTGCGTTTCCTGGTTAATTAATGCTTCTCAGCCACTACCAGACTATCCCCAACGAAATCCTTACAATTTTATGAATAATGGTGAACATTATTACCTAACATGCATAAGTGTGTTAAGTGTGTAAATTTCTCGCTTGAATGTTTCGAGAGATAATTAATTTACATTTCAGAAAGGACACTGCCAAATGATCTATAGTTTTCTGTAATTCAAGCTAACATTTCAGGGTTGGTTATGTTGTGTACGGGCAATATATTGAATATATTGAAATTAAACACTAATTTTGTGGGAAAACAGCCCAGCACAACTTGGATAGGTAACTGGTGATTCTGGCAGTTATAAATAATTCATACGCAGCACTAGATACGAGGTGCCCACAGCAGGTTTCTGATGGCTCATAGACTGCTGGTGCACCCAGCAGGTCAGTTGCACCCTCTCTACCACACTGAAAATGAACGTGTGATGGAGAATCGAAGTTAAGCTGGCTGCTGGGACCAACCCATTGAATTCGTCTGACACACGAAACCAACCCGTGAGACAACATAGCCTGTAGCATCTCTGCTCTCGGCCTGTCTCATTCGTGAACAAGACCGTGCCTGTGGGTGGAGCTACCATAAAGCACTCATGATACCGTGGCTTACGACGTAGCTAGATGCTGCATAGGTTTCCACTGATCTATGTTAGGATGTCCCTCGAGGGCCGCACCGCCGCCTCCACATGCCAATAGAGCTTTTTGCAAGGCCTCAAAAATGCAGTCAAATGGATCAGCCCTCCGGGACAGATATCGACGCACGCAAGATTTGATTGCGCCGTGTAGCAGCGGATCGGTTTACTCAAAATGTTAAGAGCCGAGATTTTACGCTCGACAGAGAACGGCGCTGATGGAAAATCTTGCCCGTTTTGACGTCATGTCGCATCAACCTGGTGGGCTTGAATTGAACGCTCACTTTGCCACTCGCTCGGCGTCGCGAGAGAGGAAAAATCGCTGGAGGAGCTGGGAAAATGCAAGACCTTAATATGATCAACAGGTAGCGACTACCACAGCATTAGTTTAAGGACAGAAGACATTAGAGAATGTTCGAGTATCTCTGGGGATGGGCGCTCCAGAACTGCATGAAGATGTATGTAACTGTAAATATTTGCTATCTGCAGGGAAACTGACTACGCACGTCATTCCTTGTTGGCTCAGCCTTCTGGGACGTTAAGGAGTCAATCTAGTTTCAAAAAACAAATTCTGCAAATGCGAAGTTAGGGAAATGACTATAGCATGTGTAGGATTGCCAAGGAAACATTATTATACTTAACATACATAACATACTTATGACGAAGAAGAGCTGGCGTGTAATGACGTACAGGAGGGGTATATGAAACCACTGCACTGTTTAGTGAGGGCAGGTGCCAGTTTGCACATGGTAGCTGGGACTAGTGTGTGTGTGTATTCGCGCGCGTGCGAGCGTGCATGTTTGAAGGTTGTAGGGTGGGACGCTCACCTTCCGTCTTGGCTTAGGGGAGGGGCTAGTCTGTGTGCCTGATGATGTCACCAGCTGGACTCGCTGCACCGGTGCTGGCTTCCCTGCCTCCGTGGGAGGCGGCGGCATCTTCTACATAGAAACAAACACCGATTATCTCTCACATGCATGGCACTACAGTGTGTCACGCGGGGCTCAACCCTGCACACGCAATACTGCTAAGTAAGCACTATATAATTAACGAGAAATTGAAGTGCACTATCGAATGACAGTATAATATGTAATATAATATAATTGGATAAGTGAAACGATGCGCACAACAGCACAATGCTTATTTTTGCTTTCATTTCATTATTCTTAAATCCACACTAAATGTAGGTACCTCACATTTACTTGCAGTTGCAATGAACTGTTTATTGTACAATATGCAAGCTCTCTCTCTCTCTCTCTGTCTCTCCCTTGCTCCCGTTCTCCTACCCCTCTCGTTCTTGTCCTCCCCTACCCCCTCTCTCTCAAATGTACACACACGCATGCACACGCGTACGAGCGCACGCACATACACATACGGTGGAGCAGAGATATACAAAATTACAAACACACCCACATGTGTTAATCGATGGGCGCATCTTAGCGCCACAACCACTCACGTGTTATCAGTGTCATCAACTGCCAGCTCATTGCAGAAAACAAGCGAACAGCTGCGTGCCAGGAGCTCGTGCCCTCACCTTACACGATTCATTAGCCCAGCCCGTAATAATCCCTAGACAAAGTCTCAGGAGGGACACCTTAACGTCGGCCCACCGTTGGGCCAATGTTGGCTGCCAACGTTGCGCCCAACGTTGGCACGCTGAGCAAAAAGACGTTCGATCGACGTTGGCCCAACGTTAGCAAGAGCTGAAGACAGCCGTTGGCCCAACGTTGGCCCAACGTCAGCATGTTATCTGGGATTACCGTAAATGTTCCGCTAAAGTTCTGTCGCTACAAGGTCCACACTCAGGATGAGACCTATGGCGTCATGAAAATTTGGGTGAAGACACCAAAATTATGCCTCTACGATATTTAGGATTTTAGTTATTTAAACAAAATAAACCAATTTCATTAACGGCAATCTTGAAATCCAAGATGGCCTCCATCTTATGCTTTTCTAAGTGTCATAACTAGGTTCTCCACTATCCGAAATGTGGGTATCGACACCAAAATTATGTCTCTACGACGTCTTGGAGTCTAGTTATTCAAAATAAACAAATTTCACTGGTGGCGATCTTGAAATCCAATATGGCCGCCATCCTATGTTTCTCTAAGTGTGATAATTTGGTTCTCCACTATCGAAAATGTGGGTATAGCCACCAACATTATGTCTCTACGACGTCTGGGAGTCCAGATATTTCAGAAAATACATTTTCGCTAACGGTCATTTTGGATTTCAAGATGGCCGCCACAATACGCAAAAGTCAGCCTGGAAACATACCCAGTGGAACTCCCAAAGTATCATAGAAGTGATATTTACACGTTTCCAGCCTCTACCCAAAAAGTTTAGGGTCATCCTTATTTTGGATATCTGCCCCCTGACTAAAAAGTGGACGTGGCTCGAATGTAGGTCAACTGGCGTGCTCCAAAATAGGACGTTCAAACTTCTCCCATAGGAGTAACAACTATATGCAATTTGAAACATGTGGGTCAAACGGTTCTTGAGTTATCGTTGACTGTAGCCAAATGTTGACGGACGTACGGGCGGACGGACGGATGGACGGACGGACGGACGTACGACGGACGACACTCCATGGCAATAGCTCATCTTGACGATGTCAAGGCGAGCTAAAAATCCAGCTTTTTGCAAAATAAATTTTTAGGCAGATTTTAGCGCACTGTCAATTTATTTAGCATCTTTGTTTACTGTTCAATATATAGAATGTTTCTATGTATATAGTCATGTTCATTGTTAGGTCATCGCTCATCCTGTTGTAAACTGTATTTGTCTATTCAAACGCTATCACTTTCCTCCTATCTCACTTCAATCCCATCCCTTCCTTTCGTGGTCTCTTTCTCTACATACATACATGTGCCTAGCATCATGGTGACGTAGCTGGTAGGTTACATGTGCATGCAGCTCGCAAGGGTGCTTGCAGGGAGATACATGAGTCACCACAGTGCCATTCACTTCATTGTGATATTCAGTGACATCAGAACCATTGTTAGCAATCTCGATGCACGACTTCTATATACCTATATACTATATATCAGTATTTACATATTCAGGACAGACACAGCTATTACCTAGCCCCATGCATTAGGAGAAACCGCACTTGCCCATCTAATCTGATCTTTAAGCAATACACAACAGGAATCCCTAGTTAGAACAAAGCGCACGCATATGATTCTGCTGCCACACAACTTCTGACGTCTAATCCTCTTTTTTTCCTCATTGAATAGCTTTTTTTGCTGTTGTCGTGAGTCTTTGTGCACCCACGTGCGAGCATCTCTTTGTCTATTTAACATCACTCAGCCGCGATTCCCAAAGCTGTCCCGTGGGACAGCAATCCACTCTTGGTCACAAATATCAGATATCGGCTGGAATATTTTCTGTCCATGCCAGATGTACCCTGCACACCACAGGCAGCGTTTCGCCCGCATGTTCTCCCACAAAGAGAGATCTGCCTGGCAGGGTGAGTTGTTGCTGGCAAATGAAACTGTATACTCATCTTGATCAGTGAACAGTGCTGGTGCGTGCATGCGCTGCTGCTAAAACGACGAATGAATGTAGTACGTATGAATAGCGACGTCTCCCTCGAGGCTAACAACGTAATAATTGTTAGTAGCATTTCGCAGCGTTTAAGAAACACGTCCGCTGCGTGAGAACCAAGCATAACGGGACATAACATAAATCTCTCTGACAATTAAACGAGCAAGTTTAACACAGAGTCGTCGATGTCCCGAGGGTCCCGATACACGCATCAGAATTTCTAGACTGCAGACATTCGAATTGAATTCGTGGAAAACCCGTATCTGCCTGCGACACAGCAACAGTGTTGCCCCCTGGTGCAGAAAAAGACGGTGAAATGTGTTGTGACCATATATAGTAGTCCGACACAGCGGTAAGTCGTTTACATATATTCGCCGCTCTCCCATCTCACTTGGCCCATGATATTACTATACTATCACCCATCCGCCGAGAACACAATAACAGTCAGACAAACACTAGTCATCTAAAACTATATGAAAGACGAACCCATTACAAGCAGCCTCTACTACCCACTCTAGAAAATCCCTTGGTAAAAAGCCACCTTAGAAAATTGTCAGTCAATGTCTGGCTACACAAGATGTAGCACACCGCACTCATATACATTTACTTATTATTGTATATAAGGAACCGCCATTATTGCAACTGCTAAATTGCTTCCAATCAATCGGTTTCCAAATTACAAGCCGTCTATGCAAATGTAATTATTCCCAGTCAACATAATCCAATCCCTTCTTCCTTGATCGGGTGGATATTCTCAGCCCCCACACACCCTCCGTCATTGCCCTTTCCATACCTATACCTACGCTCCGTCAGTGTCACTCTATCAAGTTAACTCACGTCATCTGCATGCCACCCCCACTGCTGGCCCTCACCCCAAACAAACGCAGACACACACCAACTGACTTGGACTCCTTGCCACATCTTACCAACACAGACGTGTCCCTTTTGACCCCCCCCCTCACCACGGCTTCCATATGCTTAGCGTGTTCACGGCACGCTGCTTCCCGGTTGACATGGCGTCAGATTCATGGCAGACTGTTTGCACTCTAAAGGCGCCGATGAATAATATATTGCATTAATAACACTTTAAAAATCAGTACACCGCCTAAACAGGGGGACGGAGAGTAGGTAGGTTCATGCAGAGGTAGAAATGCATTCATTACAGGCCCCCGCCTCTTTTTGGTTTTGCTTTATGTAAGAAACATCGCAGCAACTCACTGCTCGTGACATTCCATTTCCATTAATTCCATTCCAGCATGGAAAGAGACACCATTTTGAGCGAGGCCACGCCACGGCAGACATTTTTCTTAGGACCCACGGTGTTTCTTACATACAGTCAAACCTCGGTTATCCGAACACCAATTATCCCAATTTCGGATTATCCGAACAAGATCTCAAGGTCCCGTGAATAATACCCTTTTAATATTTACAATCAGATCAGTTATCCGAACAAAATACTCCCCACCCGTGCCGGTGACTGATATAATGCCACTGGACACCCTTCCATTTTTCGACAAGTTCCAAGTGAGAGAAAGTTAGTTTACGCGCATTTATTTCCTCACACGGCAAAGCTATATCTAGTGTTTATAGTTATCTCAAAATCCAAATACGAAATTATGAGTTTATTTGCTAGATATGCAGCTTATTTTCTCTGCTACAGGACTGCAGTCAAAACTCAGGACAAGGGCTCGAGCTATCTCATAACTAAACAGATTTTATTATCGTCGCTAAAACTAACGTCTGGTGTACATATGCAATCACGAAACCGAGGCAATTTCAAATCATAATTGGTAATTTTTCATGCACCGTTTAGCTTTGGGGAAATCCATTTTCTAAAATGGGAAATTTGTTATTACAAAGATGATGAGCTGTTAGATTAATTACAAAGTCTCTATGGCTGAGCCCATAAGTTTGATTATCAAGAACCTACGGAGTCAACCTAGCGATGGCTGAAACTTTTCATAGGGTTTTCATATCTTTTACAAAATGTTTTTTTTCCCATTTTAGGTTTAGCTTTATACATGTACGTTCATTAAAATTATGCTATACATCAGCCAGTGGTCTTAGCCAACGACACATGGAACCAGTCTACATAACATCGCAAATAAAGACCTAGGTATTATTTATTTCCTGATAAAACGCATTTCGCGTTTTGGAATTTTAGAACAGTGGGCCTGTCGCTATATGAACGCAACAGCTATTCAAACTTTGTCGATGAATGTAAAATCCAAAGCGACGAGAAGCGATAAGAGAATCAATATTCATTACAGTATTTATATATGATGAACCACTTTTCAATCATATTTTTAAAACATCAATATTATAGTTTTACCGCGAAAGTGCACTGTGCTGTGTGAATATACAGACATCTAGATTTCTAGTGTGAATCCCA